TGTTCCGCCACAGGAGGAGTGACATAGTCAGAAAGAGTCCTCCTGTTCGGAACTTCATTTTGTCTTCTCGGAATTTCCTGCACAGTTTCAAGAACATTGTTCCGTGGGACTTCCATTTTCTTTATTTTTCTTATTTCTTTCAAATATTTTTCAATTTCTGGAAAGAAAAATTTTTCTTGATTAATCCCACGTGAACGCGTTAGCATAAAAGAAAGGGATTGGGGGGGTTAGAGAGAGAGAGAGGGAGAAGGGAAAGGGAAATAGAAGGAAAATAAATAAAAAAAAGGGGGGGGGGAAATGAAAAGAGAAGGGAAGGGGGAAAGGAAAAGAAGAAAAAAAATGTAATGTGCAAAAATTAATAAAAAGGTTCTCACTTAAGTCAAGAGGTAAAAACCACCGAGACAAGTGATACCTTAGTTAGTAGTTAGCGGTTAGAGTGCCAAGCGGTAATAAACCAACGAGGACACTAAAAAAAATAAAAAGAGTTAGCAATGGTATATAGATATATAATATATAATATATACGTAGTAATATGTAATATATAATATATAATATGTATAATATATATAGTATATATAATATATATAATATATAGTAGATATAATATATAATATATAGATATATATCCAATAGCAGCTTTGCACGCCTGGAAAGAAAGAAAAAAAAATGCAGAAATGTAAAGTGCAGTAATTAAATGTACAAACCCTGTGACGGCTTTGCCGGTCAGCGGGCAAAATAAAGAAAGAAAGAAAAATGTCCAATCACCGTTGGCGGAAAATCCGACCTGTGGGATAGTTCAATATGTCCAGGTATGTCCAATATGTTCAAGTCAATATGTCCAAGTCCAATAAGTGTTCAAGAGTAAAGGAACTTAAAGGAATTTTTTTTTTACCTTTTTTTTTGTTATTTTTTTTTGTTTGTATTGTTTTAGTTTTTTTTTGTGTGTTTTTTTTTAGTACCTGCAAGAAGAGGTTAGGAAAACAAAATAATAACAAATATTTACAACAAATAAACAATAAAACTTATGTTTAAAATAAAAAAAACTCAAACCGTCTCCCCGGCAACGACGCCAAGTTGATTTGCAGTATAGAACGGGCAAAAATAACAACTAAAAAGAATCCCTTGTAAGTAGGGTGTCGAACCTCAGGGAGACGTGAGTTAATTTAATTTAAACAAAAGTTTACAAAAGAAGTTGTAAAATCTTTTACACTTTTTATTTTATCTTTAAAACCAAAAAGACCAAAATATTTTACAACTTCTTTTGTAAACTTTTGTTTAAATTAAATTAACTCACGTTTCCCTGAAGTTCGACACTCTACTTACAAGGGATTCTTTTTAGTTGTTATTTTTGCCCGTTCTATAATGCAAATCACTGATCTCTAATGCATTACAAATCCTTTGATTATTTCATCGAAGCTTAACATACGCTTTCTCGCTAATCAAAATTCAAAGAGGAAATCTTCTTCACTACCAAAATTGAGATTCGTATCTCTTCGGCCGATCTTCATTCCGATTTCATTCCTAATTCATACTCTTCCTCATCGGATTAAAAATCCCAAATCAGACTTAGATACGAAATTGTGATACGAATTTCTATAGTCAATCCATACCCTTTTTTTGAAAGGTCGATCCTCACCCTTAAATTGCTCGATTCAGATTTGTTTTCCTATTGATGATGGATACGAAAATTTCTTTTAGCGCTGCAAATGCTATGAATTGGCCACATCATCAAGTTTGATGCCCAGGTTCCATGTCTTCAACTTCTCCTTCTCATTTTATTGTTAAAAAAAATTAGGCTAATGTGCAATTTAGTGTCAAAATTGTGAATAAAGTGGATGAATTTGTGGATTTTGTTTTTGTAGGCTACAACGGGTGAATTTTGCTTTTGTTTATAAACCTCCAAAACAGCCCTATAAGCATTTTGAGGGATCTCCAACTGCTTCGACTTCGTATCTGTTGGATTCTCAATCTCAAACCACAACCCACTGTTCAGAGGCAAATCTCTTGAAATATGAAGGATCAAATCAGGTACAGAATCAAGCCCAGGATACGAACTGGAGTTTTTTTCTTCCTCTAGGTAAAAATGAATCTTGATTTTAACATGATAAACACCAGTATAAGTATGATCTACAAAGTTGCCCATGTAAACAGCAAGAATCTGGTGATCACTCATCAGCAAATTCTCGTGAGTTTGGCTTTTTATGACCCGTGCTCCCATTCAATCAAAACAATGAACAATTAGACATCTCTTTAAGTGAGTTAATTGTCAGCATTCTTGGGATCCTATTGAGATGTATAATTCTGTTCAATTGTGAGAGGATTATTAAAGTTATTTACTTCTTCGATGGATCTCTTTATCATTTTTGCTTTAACATGCTTTTTATGTGTTTCTCAGTGTTAGTCAATGACTTTGGTATATTCATCTGATAAGGAATGGGTATGAAGTTATTTGAAGCTGAATTCAAAAATATTGCCTAGAGTTGATAGATTTGAATTTTTAAGATAAGATCGAACATAGTCATTCAAATGGTCTTGCTACAACCAAATCAGCTTATGAATACCAAAGGTAATATATTCTCTTTCTTATTGCTAATGTGAGGTTACAATATAATGCACGCCATGCATTTCTCTTCTCCACTGTCAAAGGTTTTTTTAGACTAAAAAACAATGTGATGTTTTGTTGCTTCTAGATGATTACTTACGGAGCATTATTTTTTAATATTGAGATATGTTTGTATAGTAACATGAGTTGTGCATTGTTTTTTAATATTTCAATATGTTTACTATTTTTCGTTTGACATATTTGAGCACTTTTTAAACTTTGATCGTATATTATGGAAAAAAACATATTGGATTTTTATATACACTTAATATCAATAGATTTATTTTGAAACATATTTTTAAAATATTTTATTTTTGTAGTATATATTTATATATAAATAAGTGATTTAATTCAAAAGCTTAAAAAAACATTCTCCTTATTTTGATGTTTTTAAGATAGTATATCTCTCCTGTTGCTTCATCTCTATTTTCTTTTCTCTAGCACTTGATTTTAGAGTTAGGTTTTTATTTTTTTTATGAATTTTATTTATTTTTGGGATTTCTTTTGTTTTTCATTTTTGATATGATATTTGGATTTTTATGAAATGTTGTGGCAGGGATGTGATTGAAGGGTATAGTTTCAGAAATTTTGATAAGATTCAAGGTAACTGATATGGTCATGGATGCTATTATAGAGGAGTCTCTGCCATGTTGACGAGGAGCACTATTGAACCCCAAATGAGGTATTCATTTTTTTTTTCTTATTTTTCTTCAATTGGATCTTTGTGTACCTTTTTGTTATCTGAGCTTCAAACAATGAGAAAGAGTAACAATTAAAGTACTTTATCAAGTCACTAGAAAAACCGGGTTGATGTTGGTAAGAACTCTACCACTCGCAAGGCTTTATAAACACAAAGCAATAATGTTTTTAATAGGTGTGTGACTATTAATGTCCTGTTATGGGGTATGTTAAATATGTGATTTTGAAAAATATAGATACGACAGACCGTATTGTCAATCATACCATTAAATAAAATAGTTCTATATTATAACAGTATGAATCACAACTTTGAGAACTCAACCATGATGCCAATATTTTCCAAAGTGTTTTTATTGTACAAGGTGGTACACCAAGAATACTTTGTAAGCGGTTGACTAGACAAGGTGGTACACCAAGAATACTAGACAAGGTGGTACACATCAACGGATTCCTTTCCTTCTTTGTTCCCGGATTTGTTTCCTTCTTTGATGCCAACACATCAACGAACAATAATTTTACTTCTTGAAATTCATATTGGATGGAGTACATTGATATTAAATTTACTAAAATTGTATTCCTTTCCAATTCTGTAATTTTTCTTTAAACCCCTTCCTGAATTATAAAATCTTTGGTGTAGTTTGTCTTAAAATTATCATTATTATGTTGATATTATTAAAAAATTGAACTATGCTCTTTTTTAAATGGGATCCAAAATGTGCCATTTAAAGATTGAACTTTAAAATTGAACTATGCTCTTGCAATTTTAAAAATACTCCAATCATGATCATAGTGATAAAGAACAAAATCTTCCATCAAATTCTTCAATACTACTTCCTCCATTGAAAGTGTTAGTTTTAGATGACAACGGTAACTCTTGCAATTGCACCAAAAAATGTTATTTACTGTAAAGTTTTCCAAAAAATTTGGATTTAATTAATACATTTATACGTTCTTTCCAATTTTAAAATACATGAATTTTACTTATCATACTCTCTTTATGTTGTATCATTCATTAAGATTATAACATTGTATATTATATTTAGCTTTATTTTATAGTTATTTACTTAAAACAAAAATTTAAAAGAGTTAAAAATAACATGCGTTCGACCCCGTGCGTTGCACGGGTTAAATACTAGTATATATATAAGCCCAAAGAACCAATAAATTTCGACAAAATCAATGGTCAAAATTTTCCATGTCTTCATCTATATATATACCACACGATGTAAAACTGTTAATATATTCTTGGAGAATCTTTTCTACAAACTCGTCACAATGTCATATTGGCATGCTATAGAGGAAAATATGCCGGCAAATAGACATGTCTACCTTATTTAAATCATGATCTTTGGGATTAAAAGTAATGTTCTGATCTCTTTGTTAAACATCTCAAAATTTTTCTAAGACTCCTTTATTTTTTTTGGTTAGAATTTTAAAGTTAAATGCTGGAATGCGGAGAAAATTAGAATAAGTTGAAAAGAATAGGTACCGGTTGAAAGAAACTAAAAAGAATTGAAAAAAACTAGAAGAAGTTAGAAAATTTACGAAAAATAAATTGTTAAAAAAAATTATTCAATTAAATGATCGTCCAAATAAATATGTAAAAAAAGTAATTTTAGACAAAAAAATTCATCTCTGTCTTGGTTGAAGGTGTTATGTAATAAATTTAAATCTATGCAATTGTATAGTCGTCATATGTAAATACAATTTTAAATTATTGTTGGATGAAACTGGAAGGAGTATGAAAAAAATAAAAAGACTAATAAGAATAAAATGAAAATAGCTAAATAGAATTGAAGGTTGATTTTTCCAATAGAAAAGATCAGCAGTATGTAACACTTTCTTATGACTTAAAAGTATGGGTATGTTACACTTTCTCATGGCTCATGAGTCATGGCTCATTTTTACTTAGAAATTTTATTTCCTAGAGGGGTTGAGACTTACCCTTTCGTTCCTATTTAGTGCAAATTTTACTTTTTTAAACAGATCATATTTTGAATTTTGATAGATTTATTTTTGTAATTTAATTTTTCAATTAAATCTTCAACATCGATGAGAATATAGAGACAAAATAATTAAATAACTTATTACGGAGTATATCAATATAAAATGAAAGTATTTTATCAAAAAATGATATACGGAGTATATCAATAAAATGTTACAATGATTTTATTTTGATATTAGCCTTTTTATTCAAACATGAAAGTATTTTATCAAAAAAAGTAAAAGAGGAAGTTTTTTAAAAGTCATTATGTTTTAGTGCTATTTAGGTAAATTCCTCTTTAAAAAATGCAAGGTGTAAAAAGGATTTATTGAATTAAAATTGACCTTTAATTGTTTTTAGAATATATTCTCCATGTGTCATTGAATTATCTTCTTATTTGACGTAATATTTCACATACGGTCTCCGATACAATACTGTAATTATAAATAGAAATTATAGTGGTTTGAAATATGAGTATTTTATTGCATTCCTTTTATTCACCAAGAATTAAATCTCCTTAATTTAGGACACATAAAAAGAAGACTTTCAGGGACGGAGGAGTGCATCTATCCTTACAAAATAAATTTTTTCATTGTCCTATGATCCATTCTCATTATATGGATTTCAATGCATAAAATGATTATCTATACTCGACCTTGTAAAAAAGATATACTCCGTAAATATTCAATTACGAACACATGAAAAACATATGAGAAAATTCATATTTTATATATGGATCTTAAGACTGCAGTACCACAAGTCCACAACTCATAGCCCTAACAAGAATAAAAAAAATTCAATCATTAATAATAAAATAAAATAAGATAAATCAAAAGCCAAACGTACTAGATCATCCCCCAACCCTTCATATTGGTCCACCTCGAACCCAAGCCACATACATTATTTTTGCATGCACTAATAATAATGGCTTAATGGTGCACTAGCTACGATATCCATTAATATAAAAATAAAACACTCCCTAATTCCATAATCTTTTGTCTGCCAATGCAACTATATAGTAAAATAATTAAGCACAGTTAAACCCACTTACATTTCATTATACCCTTTCCATCTCAGCCATATATCATCTCATAATTAACATAATCCCCTCAAATCTTCTTCATCATGCATATACATATCATCATCATCATCATCCCTCATTAATTAATTAATTAATTAGTTTCTGCGGTCGCTCAATTTCAACCCATAATTATCCCACACACTCTCACAGTGATCTCCCATTAGCAGCCTGAAACAACTCTCGACGCTCATGTCCTTTTGTTGTTGTTGTTGTTGTTCCATAGGACAATTACCATAAGAACCTCCTCCATTGTCCCCATCCATGTAGTAACAACTCTCTCCCCCGGGGTTGTTATAGTCTTTTCTCTTCTTGCTATTACATTGGTTCATCACCACATAACTGTTGTTCATGTGGACCCATTTGTCCCTACACATCGCCCCGCTCCTGTCGTACCCCAGGTACGACATCTTCGTCGCGATTTCCTCCCATAGGTCGCCGTCCTGGCGGTGGTAATTGACATTATTACCCCCGACGACGACCATGTTGTTTCGGATTTGGACGAGTTTGGACACCTCGTCCTCGGTCCAGGTGTCGTCCTCCGAGGTTGTCTCGGAGGAGGCGACGACGACGTTGCCCGCCCTGTGCAGCGCGTCCATCAGGGCGGAGTCGCGAGCCTTGATCCAGGCCCGCTCATGGGCCCAGAACGCCTGCTCGGTCTCCATCCTGGCCTCCTCCTTTCGCCTCCACTCCTCCTCCCTCGCCGTCCTCTCCTGCTCCTTTTTCTCGATCGCCTTCATGATCTTATCGAGCCAGGCTTCTTGCCTCTCCATGAGTTTCCTCATTTGCCCATCAATGAACTCCTTTACCTTCCCCTTCCACCTCCCTTTCCCCCTCCTCCTCCTCCCGCCCGCCGCGCTCGTCTCATCCCCCTGCTGGTCGATGATGTCATCCGAAGACGACGTGTCGTACTCCGAGGAGTCTGAGAGGCTGAGGCTGTCGGCGGCTGACATCATCGTCTGGCGATGCAAAGCTCCCGCATTAGCGTTGTCGCCGTTGGCGGTGGCGGTTAGGTCGTTGCAATGGAACGTCGTAGGTTGGGTTTGTGAGACCGAAGCGGCGCAGGTTTCGCCGCCGCCGTAGAGAGCTTCAAGCTGCCGGAAGAACCTGTAGTNTTTACCTTCCCCTTCCACCTCCCTTTCCCCCTCCTCCTCCTCCCGCCCGCCGCGCTCGTCTCATCCCCCTGCTGGTCGATGATGTCATCCGAAGACGACGTGTCGTACTCCGAGGAGTCTGAGAGGCTGAGGCTGTCGGCGGCTGACATCATCGTCTGGCGATGCAAAGCTCCCGCATTAGCGTTGTCGTCGTTGGCGGTGGCGGTTAGGTCGTTGCAATGGAACGTCGTAGGTTGGGTTTGTGAGACCGAAGCGGCGCAGGTTTCGCCGCCGCCGTAGAGAGCTTCAAGCTGCCGGAAGAACCTGTAGTGTTTGCCGTCTTGCCGGCCGCCTTTCCCGTCTTTGGTCTTCTTGTAATACTTGTACAAGTTCTCGAATTTCTCCCTGCACTTCTTCCCACTTCTTTCGTATCCATGTTCCTCGCTCATAATCCTGTGGTTTGGGGAACAGCTATAATTTAAGTACCAAAATGGTTTTTAAAAGGTATAGTTTCATTATTGACCAATGAATCCTAATAAACTTTTATTATTACCCCTCCCTAGACTTTTTTATTGCTAGATTCTACTAGGTTGTTATTACAATAAAGAAATTATGATTGATTAGAAATTTTCTCGAGATAGATAGGTTATGAAGATGATTGACATGAATGAGTGACAGATTAAAAGTAATTTGAAACACTTCTTTAGCATTTAAACCTATTTTTCAAAAATGAGATTTTTTAGGAAGTACGGAGTAGATAAATAACTTTGAACGAAGTGAAGGTTGGTTTGGTAAACGGAATTGATGAAATTCAAATTAAATTGAGAGGTGAAATTATATGGAATTGATTTGGATAGGATGGAATTGAACTTTCCAATTTCAAATCAGTTTTGGCACTACCAATTCAATTTCACATATTTTTGTGCTATCAAACAGTAGAATTAGAATTGTTGTTTCCAATTCCAATTTCATATTTTGAATTTCGTGTCCCAAACGGAACCTTAGTGTATTCTTTCATAGAAATTACACTACACTTTTCTATTTTCGGAATGCAGTGGTAATTACTCTCCGTCCCTAAATCTCCTTATTTTGACTATTATCGGATTTAAGGAAGATTTATTTGGGTTGATTTTCTTAAATTACTTTTGATGTACGAAGTAATAAATAAAAGTAAGATGTGATGAGTATATTATTAGTGAGTATGTATGATGTGATAAGTAAAATAAGAATTAGTATGATTGTTTCAAGAAATCAAATGGGGTGTATTTAAATAAAAAATGCATATTAAAATATAACAAAAATAATCTACGTATTAAATTTGTTTATTGCATACAAATATTTTACAAAATTCTATGGCGAAATCCTTTTTAATTTAGTTATGTTAGATAAAAATGAAAAAAAAGTGTGAAAAGTCCAACACTCTACACCATTATTACGAGTAATACCTTTCCAAATTTGTTGTCTCTTACCAAGACATTGAAAAATATGTTGTCCCAAAATGATCCTATGAACAGTTAGGGCTGGGTGTTATACTATTTACCTAGCTAGGGAAAAATATGATCCAAGAGTAAACAATATTCTAATATCTACCCAAAATCTTTATATGTCAAGAATTAGGAAAGAGGGAGTTTTTTCTTTTTTAAAATGTAAAAAGAAAAATGGAAGGGTTAGTTTGGAAGAAGAATATATAAACCCTAGGTAGCTAGCTGGCTAGCTAGTTGCATGAAATGTGAGAACAGTGGAGATTTACTAATGATAGGCAAACTGATGTTATTTCATTGTCAAGTCAGTTGCACAAGGCCCCGTTTGGGGAATAGGCTTGAAGACGGGATGGATGCATGGGTTTCATTGGGAGAGCTGCAGCCTTACCCAAACAGAGCCCAAATTTATTGGATGGGAAGTGATAGAGAAGAGAAAGGACTCTACCATACTGAACTACTGATGGATTATTGATGAAAGATCAATATCCACAATAATGAATATAATTAAATTATTTTTCCATAAATATATAATATCGCTTTATTTAATTTGAGATCAAGGTTATCCGGGAAAAACCGAAAGCGGACAAAATGCTCGAGTATGAGAGGAGTATTATAAAAATAAAAATTTAGTCAAATATCATAAACTGAAACGAGACGAAAAAAATAGCGGGACGAGAGGAGTAAAAGACAAACCACCACTGGAGTGACACTGGTAGATAGGTGTGTTAGAAGTACTGTAATGGTGGGTCTGCAACAAGTGCTACAGTGGTGTTTTTGGAATCAATGAGAGAAAAATTAAATAAAAAAGAGAGGTGACGAAAGTATGTAGAGACCAAAATGTCATCTGATTCAGTCCGACTCAAATCCTGCGTTACTGTCATTTTCTAACACTAATTTGGCTTTCCACAATTTATGTTGTCACTCTCATGCCATCATCCCCCCCTCGGACTACGTGAAAGCTAGAAACCAATCAATAATGGACTCTTCACTTTCATTTTAATTAAATTAAATTACTCCCTCCGTCCCACTGTCTTTGTCCACTTACCTTTTAGCATACCATCCAATGCACTTCTTTAATCCATTTTATCTTGTAATTTGTATATTAAAAAATTATATAAATTATATATTAATAATCTATATGTTAAGACGAATCAAACAAGATCACACATGACTATTTTTAGGCTTACACATTGAGAGAATTTGATGGGTCAAAGTGCTTAGATGAACAGTTCCAAAAGTCAAATGTGGACAAAGACAGTGGGTCGGAGGTAGTAATTTATACCCCCATGAAATTATATTTCTCCTCAACAAAATAAGAGAAGATAATGATAATATTTGCTCAACTTATATATCGATGAAAATATATGTTAAGAGTTGTGTTTTTGTGGTCTTGAATTCTTTTTTCACGTATACATTCTCACACTTTTTATTATAAGCTTACAAGTAATTAAATCTTTTCTTTTTATAAAATCTCAATTATTTTATGTTGTTTATGTGTTAAAGTTCATAAAATGAGCGTTGACTAAAAGTCCACAGAAGAATTTGCTTTAGAGAACAAAAGGATTATAAAAGAACAACACTATTATTTAAAAGTATTTTTAGAAAAAAAAATAATAAAAGAGGTTCTACCTATAAAAAAAAGTTCAAAACAACATACTCTATAACAATGCCTCTTCGTTCTAGCTAGAGGCAAGAATACTTATAAAGAAATAGTAATATTATAATTTAAATCCGCGTACACTTTTCTTAATTAACACTCTTTATTAACTTTTTGAAATATTAATAGTTGGTTTTAGGATTTTGCTAAAAACTCCAATAAATTTAAACAAAAATGGGTCTACAATAATTGAAATAGAAAGAAAAGGGGGGTCGAGGTCTAAAAGGTGTGGAAGTTACGGAGTATTATTTCAACCAATAAGTGACTTGCCTTTAATTTGTTGCTTAAATTAAACACACAACTCTTATTAGAAGTGTATTTAAGTACAACCTTCTAATTAATGTAAAAAAAGTTGTGCTTTTTTTTACTATTCATTTTTTTCAAAATACTTTTGCTATGTTTCGCTCAAGTATTTGAAAGGAAAAAAAAAGAAAAGTATTTTCTCTCATTTTCCTCAAGAAAATTATTTTCTCTCATTTTTCTCCACAAAATAGGATGAATTTGATTTTCCTTTTCTTAGTATATTTTGTCTTATCATTTTCTTTTTCTACTTTTTTATTTTTTTCCTTTTTTTTCTCTAACCAAACATGAAAATTGATTTTATTTCCCTCTCATTTTTTTGAACTAAGCATAGTGTTCATATTTAAGAAGTGAATTTGAAATATGTTGTTTATCATTCATACTTCCCCCGTCTCCAATTTCATTACAAATTGGTAGTTATGAGGAAAAAACTCTCATCTTTTTACATTATTTTATTTATAAATTGGTATATCAAACAGAAATAAAAATTTCATATCAAAAAACCACATCGAAAGTTCTACCAAACAAGAGGTAAAAATAATATTTTATTTTAACAAATATCAATGAAAATACACAGATAAACAAAAGTTATCGAGAAGAAAGAAAAAAAATATCTATTTCGAGACAGAAGGTGTATATGTCAAGAATCCTAATTAATACGGAGTATGGTATATATCTAGATGAGATTTGAGATGATTCAATTTATTATAAGGGTCCGTTTGGTATACGAAATTGACAGAATTGGAATTGAATTGGAATTGAGATTCCATGGGATTCAATTCCATAGAATTGAATTCTGTCAATTCTAATTCATTTTTTGCACTATCAATTTTATAACCACATAATTTTTGTGCTACCAAACACCAAAATTGGAATTGAAGTTCTCAATTCCAAAGTTTGAATTCCATGTACCAAACGGGGCCTAATTTGTTTTACTAATTAAGGTATAAAAAATAGACAATTTATTCCTGGATTGCAAAAACTAAAAAATGAACAAGTAGTATATCCGAATGTGTAATCAAGAGTTTAATTAAGATGACAAAACCCAATACCCCAAAAAACATTAAATGTTCTCCCAATAATAACAACACTCATTTTGTCTTTTGTTGACAATTTTAATTTTTACGGAGTATTATTTGTGCTCTTTTGTTAACAGAAAATGTGAAATGTTTCTCCTCTGATTAAAACAACCAGGCAAAAACAGGTACGGGCATTCTTCTTTTTTTCTAGAAGAAACATTCATAAGTAATTGTTGTTATATATAAAAAGAAAAATTTACACTAAATAAGACTAAAACATAAATAATTTACTAATGTAGAATTTAATTTTTTTTATTTCTTAAATAGAACTTAATGCGGGTACCCTTGATTTTGTTTAAAAAAATCATCTAAATAGTAGTTATAACCTTGTAGTAATATGAGTGATAAAATTTACAAATTTTGTTAGAGAAAATTTGTTTCTAAAACTTTAGCAGCTAGGTTAAAAAAAGAAGGAATATAATGATACCTTGAGACTTCATCCCAAAGAGGACCCTTTTGGTTGGCCTCCTTGAACTTGTAATCCAGTCTTGATCGGATCTCAAGGAGGGTGAGAGTCTCCTGCCGCGGCCACCGCCCGTTTCCGCCGCCGCCGCCAGGAGCCTCCATCTCCAGTGCCCCGAAGCCCACCGCAGCACTGGCTGCGGCGGACTCCGCGAGGAACTCACGGTGGAACCCACCGCGGCTCGGGGGCGGCATGACCATGTCGTAGCGGTGGTGGGACGGGGGCGGCGGCGCGAGATCCCGGCCGCCGTGGTGGGGAGGAGGAGGAATAGGAGGGGAGATGAAAAGTGGGGGCGTAGTGGTGGTGTTGTTGATGAACTGCCGTAGATCTGGTGGCATCCCGTAGTGATCTTCTCCGCCGTCCATTGTTTTTAGCGGGAGATCGAGGTAGGACTGAGCTAAGATCAAAGGATGGAACGGGTGACCCGGATCTTGTCGCCCTCTCTCAACACTCAACAAATTATACAAAGGTTTGTAGCTTTTGAATATTTGTGTTTTGATCAAATCCCTTTTGTCTCTCTCACACATCTTATATTACTTCCCACCTTAAAAAAAATTCCCCACACCCTATCTTTCTTTTATTTACCTTTTCACGGTCTTTAAAATAATATTTCAATAAGTAGTATCTTTATTTCTATATACTCCTTCCGTCCCAAATTATTTATCACATTTGTATTCCCGAGACAAAATATCAAGTTTTTTCAATTCATTTTATTTACATATTAGTATAAAAATAAAAAATAAAATTTACATATAAAAAAACTACATGAAAAGTTCTTCGAAATAAGAGGTGTCAAGAATATTTTATTTTATCAAATAACCAATGAAAACGTCGAAATAAATAAAAGTTCCCGCGACTGCTGAAAAAGTAAATGTTGTGAATATTTAGTGACGGAGGGAGTATTTATGGATTATAGAAATATGATACTTCCTTTGTCCTTTAAAATTTTTTCTATTTTGACTTTTATGAAAATTAAGAGAGAGATATTTTTGTGATGACTTTCCAAAAATACTCTAATGTGATGGCAAAAATTAGAATGTGATAGATAGAGTATTAGTAAAAAGGTTTGATGTGATAACTAGGGTAAGAATTAGTACGGATAAAAATAATTTTTTAATAGAAAGGGGAAAGACTTTATGTGACAAAAAAGGAGTTTATGAGACGGAAGGAGTATTATAAAAATGTGTGTTGAAATGAATATATGGTTTTAAATTTATTTCCCAATTCAATATATTTTTATCCTAATTCTTGACCAAAGTTTAAAAAAATACTCCCTCCGTTACTTAAAAACTTCCTCTTTCATTTTTTATCCTTTAAACATTTTCACCTTCTACTAAAAAACAATTTTTACCCTATTTTTCCTTATTCTACCTATCACATCATAATTGTTTTTACTAATAATCAATGTATCACATCTTATTTTTACCCATCTCAAGAGAAAAATTGGAAATTAAACCATAAATATACACTCCTTGTTTTTCCTAAAAGTCAAAATAAAAATCGTTTTATGAAAGGGAGAGAGTATGTTGACTGCAAAAGTCAAAATGTAAAGTCCTAAGAAAAGTGTTTTATGGCTTAGTCCAATGATCCCTTCCCCAATTCTAAATTCTATATAAAAAATAACTGATCATTCATTTTTTATTGAATTGGATCATAAGTAAACTTAATCACTTACATATAAAATCAGGATCTACTCCCTCCGATCCGTTTGCAAAAAGACTTCTTATTTTGATTTAGAGCAAAAATAAGGAAATGTTAAATTATAATCCCTATGTCTCATAAAGTGTTACCCATTTTGACTAAAGTTGAAATTAAGGGAGGGATAATTTTGTATTGACTTTCCAAAAATACCCTTGATGTGATGTGTAGATTATTAAGAAAAAGGTATGATGTGATAGGTAGGGTTTGAAAAAGTATGGGGTAAAAGTGGTTTTTTTAATAGAAATGGGTAATGGATTGTGGGACACAATTTTTTTGAAACGTGTAAATCTTTTTGGGACGGAGGGAGTAGTTGATTTCTAATTTTGCCCTTGATGTGATGTGTAAAAGTAAGATGTGATGGGTAGATTATTAGAGAAAAAGTATGATGTGATAGGTAGGGTATGAAAAAGTAAGGGTATAAGTGGTTTTTTAATAGAAAGTGGAAGTGTTTTGTTGGAAGTGGAAAAATGAAAGCGGAAGTGTTTTTGAGAACAGATGGAGTATTTTCTATCTAAAAGTTTAAACTGATAGTTAGAGCTTGACCCTTCTACTTTTTTGGATATAGACTTTCCAAAAATGTCATTGGATGCGATAGGTAAAAGTAGATGTATGTGATGGCCTGGGTAAATTGGTAGTCAAACAGTGTGCTATGATATGCAGGTTAAGATTTAGTATGGGTAAAATTGATTTTTTGATATAAATGAATTTTTTTATAGATAGATGAATAAAAAGAAAAAACGTTTTATGGGACAGAGAAAATATACTTTATTTAACTCTAGGTAAAATGTTGAATGTAGTTATTCTGATATGGTGAGAAGCTTAACTCTCAACGAGCAAGAATAGGATTTAGGCATAGCATTCACCATGGTTGTGATGAACCATTATAAATATATAATCTGGAGTTCAAATTACGGCTGAATTTATTAGAGTAAGTCTAAAATGACATGAGTTAAAATGACATGAGTTATACTGGTGTCATTGGCTTACATCAATTCATTTGAATTACCTACGATATCCTGTTTGTAAAAATGGCGCGGTTCTTACCCTTCTAACCCTCGCCCTAAACCCCCACCCCAGCCCCACCATTTTCAATTGCTACCCTTGGTAGTGAATGTTAAGATGAGTTATTTCTAAAAGGCCGAATAAAATTAGATTTATTCTATAGATGAATTTGAAATTGAAAATGGGAAAAGCGACTAATGTGACATTTAATTTGTTTTCGCCCCTTTGTTTGGTTCGATGAATTGACTAAAAACATGATTAGACAATATTGTCATTTGGCCATTGTGTCCTTCCACATGCGACAACGGATCGCGCAGACCGCTCTGATCTTCCTCCTCCTCCTTTCTCTCTCTCTCTCTCGCCATTTCATAATCAAACCATCCATTTTTTTGCACTCTAATAAGATTGCTAAAATTATGGATCTTAACTGTGTTTTATGTTTTCGGTGGTGTGGTCAACAAGAATCTAACCGGCCAGACCGGACGGATCTTTCTAAAGGATAGTACCAAATCGCTCTCGTCCGGTCTGGCTTCCCGGGGAAACGGGAGCCTAGCACGACATTACCTAAGACCGGCTTAAGTTTAGGCCGGTCCAGACTCCTATTTTTTTAATACTTGGTATTTGTAGAATTTTTTAACGTAAAGGGTTGCGTTGTCAACATGGGTGGCCCAGAGGGTGTGCAAAATGGCCAACCGCACATGGCCCCTTAAAATTTAGGGCACCATATTTTTAAATTTGTTAATAATTTTATAGCAAAAGTATTTTTAAAATATAAAATAGGACACAAAATGTAAATTTCGGACCGGACCAATTTTATTTTTTCATTTTTTGGGGCCGGCCCTGATTGTCAAAAATCACGAGTCACAATATATTACATGCATACGGCCCAACTAATGCTACGAGCTAACTAGTACGAAGTAATTATTTCTTTCTCTATTTGTCGAGTTTGACTTTTTCAAGCTAAGTTAGATAAACATTGAGTTTAAATTTTTTTAAAAATGCAATGTATTTTAGTATAAAAATGTTCCTATTAGATTTATTTTATTAGAAAGTACTCCGTATAAACTTAGAGGGTTGCCTTGTCATTCATAATCACGAGTCACAACTCACAATATATACAAGTGTTACAGGCCTACAGCCTAATTAATTAGGGCTGTAAACGGATAACCGAAAATTCGATTACCGTCCGCATCCGTATTCGTTTATATGGAAAATATCCGCATCCGTTAAAAACGGTTATTATCCGTATCCGATTAAGGATATCTGATTGCTAAACGGATACGAATTTGGTAATCATACATCCGATCCGTTTATAATCCGCTCCGCATTGACATCCGTTTAAATAACCGTTTATCCGTGTATCCGATCCGTTATATATAGTCTTTCCTAATTTTTTATGTCTATATTTTGTTTCTCTATAGATATCTCAAAGTATAAGACATTTTTATATGCAAAATATATGTGTATATATGTACTGTGTATAAAAATATGTGTAGACATGTAAAAATATGTGTATATATGTACTGTGTATATCTTTTTATGATATGAAGTCATCGTAGAATATCATAAACTATAAAAAATAAGAAAATAAATATCCCATTATAGATTATAGTTGATTTAATAATATTTTAATTTAGTTTAATTGAAAATTCAAGTATTGTTTAATTTAGTTTTAAAAATTGGAAACGGATACAGATATATCGGATATCTGACCGATATCCGACGGATGCGAATACGGTTTTGATTTTTCAATATCCGTCAAGATCCGTATCCGAATTCGATATCCGAAAAAAATAAACGGATACGGATTTGGTAATGGCACATCCGATCCGATTAAAATCCGTTTACACCCCTATAATTAATGCTACAGTCCAACGAGTAATTAATTACAATACAAAATACGGAGTAAAAGACTCCAATAATATTTTTTATGCTAATTAGTTTATTTTGTGCGTTTATAAAGGCTAGAACCTGAATATCTTTATTTTCTTATCTTCTATCTCTGCTTCCAGCGTCATTATCTTATTATTACATAACAAAAATATTTGTGTGGAGGTAGAAATATTAACATTTCATGCAGCAAAAAATGTCTTTTTGATTTGTATTCACTTGTTTTTTTGAAACGTTTCATTAGAATAATTTGTATATAAAGACACATATAAGAAATGTGTGTGTAGGGCTGCAATCTAAAAAAAAGGATGAGTCTCATTTCAGAGGCCCCCTTCAGGTCGGACGATCACAACTGAGAGGAGATAATTGAACTTTGACTGCAAATTGGTGGCAAAAAATACTTGCAGTCGTTGCAGATATCCTATGCTTAGCATAATTACTTTCCATCAGAGTTGTCAAGAATTAAACTCGAAGATTATCTCCTAGGCAATGCCCACATGCTAGGATAGCAATCTAAGGGTAGAGAGGAGAGGACACTCTTTGCTTGGGTGTCATGGTGGGGGATAGGGGTACGTAGTTGTAAATTTGTAATACGGAGTAGTCTTTGTACTCCCCTAGTAAACATAATTCACGTGCCCCGATAATTATATCCATTTTTTTAAAATATTTTTCTGATAGAGTCCTGACTTATAATTAAATAAAATTTCTATGATATATTAATAGGATAAAATATTTAATACGATAAATTTAATAAATTAAATGTTATATTAATATTTAATATCAATTTTAATTAATTCATGATTTTAGTTTATCGTTTTTTACTACAAAAAGTGAAAACTAGAGTACTACTCCATCCGTCCCTAAATAAATTTCCTTTTTCGTTTTTTCTTTGTCCCCAAATAAACTTCTCTTTTCTCTTAAAAAACCCCTTTTACCCCTTACTTTTTCATACCCTACCTATCACATCATACTTTTTTAATACTACCTTCGTCCCATTGTTTTTGTCCACTTTTGACTTTTGGAACTGTTTATCTAAGCACTTTGACTCATCAAATTCTCTTAATGTGTAAGCCTAAAAATAGTCATGTGTGATCTTGTTTGATTCGTCTTAACATATAGATTATTAATATATAATTTGTATAATTTTTTAATATACAAATTACAAGATAAAATGGATTAAAGAAGTGCATTGGATGGTGTGCCAAAAGGTAAGTGGACAAAGACAATGGGACGGAGGGAGTAATAATCTACCTATCCCATCTTACTTTTACACATCACATCAAGGATATTTTTGGAAAGTCAACACAAAAATATCCCTCCCTTAAATCTTCAAAAAGTCAAAATGGAAGTTTATTTAGGGACGGAAGGAGTATAAGTATGTGAGACATAGGTATTCTTATGGGGGGTTTCTTAGTTTATTTTATCTTTCTATATACATCATTTTTCTAAAATTCCAAAAAAGCCCTTAACATTTTCAAAGAGAAAAATTAAGATTTTTTTAACTTGAGATGGAGTGAGTTTATATTATTTTTTTATTTTATTTATTCCAATTTTACTTGAAATGAAAAAGGTAATTTTTTTCTTTTCCTTTCATTATTTTGTCTCTTACTCCGTACAAAGTATTTTTTATTTTTCTATTTTTATGTTTTTTCTTATGTTCCCCAAACAAATTATTCTCTTTTGAAAAATAAATGAATAAATTTTTTTAAATTTGACATGGAGAGCGTATATGTTATTTTAATTGTTTGTATAAATAAGAAAATTGAAAAGAGTGAAACTTCATGATGGAGAAAAAGAAGGGAATAAATGTCATTTTACGTTTGGAAATGTTGGGAAATATCCCTCCTACATGGAGGAAGTGTCCAATTTTAATTGGACAATACTTTACATATATCTTTTGTATTTGGGCTTCTTTTATGTGTAAAGCTTTAGCCCATTTGTTTTGGTGGCCCATATTGTGTGGCTATTAACAAAAAAAAAGGAAGGGATAAGGCAGCATGTGGCAGTAGCTACGCAAGAAAAAAAAAAAAGAGGCAGTAGCAAAAACGTAGGAAAGAGGGAGAAAAACAGATTTCTCGCCACACAGTGCAGCAGCCACTTTTCACCTCCGGATCGAAGGCCAAACGAAGTCCGATCGTGCTCAAATTTTAGTATGTTGTTCCTCACATACTCCTCTTCAAATCCAACGGTCAGATTCTCATTTTGATGCCCGGAAGGTTGTTTTCTGGCTGCGTTTTCAGACCTGCGTTTTTTGGGAGTTTTTACTCCATTTTATGTTGAATTGTTGATTGTTGTTGTTCCAAGGTTGCTCCTTGATGATTGTGTATGCCTCTAGTGTTTACTAGAGAGGAGAACTTGTTGTACCCACTTGGTTCTTGGTGATTAGTGGAAGTTTGGGTGCCGTTGTTGAGCGGCCGTGGTTTTCTCCCCGATTTGGGGTTTCCACGTAAATCGTGTGTTCTTTATTTTATTTCCGTTGCTATCTATTTGTGGTGGTGGTGCTGATTTTTGGAGTATATTGTGCTTTGTTGTTCATCTCATTTAATTTGGGAAAAAGATTTTATACGCTTCCGTTGTGTTTTGTTCCGTGCTTCCCCAACAAAGTGGTATCAGAGCTTGACTATTTATTGGTTGGCTTCTTGTGTTGTTTATGATGGATAAAGTAATTGTTCAAGGAATGGTTAGTTTGGACTCTACGAATTATTCAATTTGGAAAATTCGTATTGAGGATTATTTATGCTCTAAAGACTTGCTTGACCCAATT